AAAAAAAAAAAATAAAAAAAATTAAAGAAAACGGGAAAAATCACAGCTAAAAATAGCCGCCGGGGGATTTGCCGGGGGATTTACCGGGGGTCGGACTGGGGGGGGGGGCAGCAGGAACGAGAAAAATGCTCCTGGCTGAGCAAGCCCGGCTTTACTTTTATCACCCCAGCTACACTGCAAGGGTGCAGGAAAGAGGGCGAGGAGCGCAAAAACTAACACCGGGGGCGGGAGTGGTGGGGTGCTGGTGAAGGTCGAGCGCAGCCCCGCCGCGGTGCCGGTGGCCTCTGGGCCGCCTCGTTCGACTCTTGSCAAGCGCCGGAGTCTGATGCAATCGCTGCGCTGACTGAGGCGGCGGTTCCCACCTGTATTTGCCATTGTGTGCCCGGAGCTGTTTGCAGGTGTTTGCTGGCGCCGCGCTGTCTGAGCCGCACTTCCCTCCGCCTGCTCCTCCTCCTCCTCCTTCTCCTCCTCCTGCTGCTGCCCCGGCCAAGGCCTGGGCCCCCGCGGCCCCCTCCTCCCGGCTCCTCGCCAGCCGCCGCTGACAGGGATGCTGCGCGCACACGCGTGACCTTGGCCAGGAGCGGTCACGCGTGGAGAGGGGTTCCGGCCGCTGAGCGTGGGTGTGCGCACGCACATGTGTACTTACGCACATGGCTACACTGACGTGGTATGTGCATACTCATGTGTGTRCATGTATGCACGCATGACTGCATTTGCACTCGCCTGTGTGCACTGTCACACGTGTTTACAAACACTGATACGCATGTCTGTGCGTGCTCACGTGTGCAGATATGCATGCATGACCGTGTTCAGTTACACGCACCTATGTGCATTCACCCATGTGAATGTGTATGCAGATACATGTGTCTGGACACACTCAAACGTGTGCATGCATTTATACCCATGCACACTTACAACTTGCCTACACTGACTCACATGTCAGTGCACACTTAAAATGCATGCACACTTATGTATGTGTGCACTTACACACACAGCTATGTGCATTTACACACGTGCCCACACAGACACATGTGCATGAAGGCATTGTCACCTGTCTGCATACTTACATATGTGCACTTACACGCTTGTGGACACTGACACACATCTGTGCACTCACAGATGTGTGCAGATATGCACACATGACTGTGGATTCACACATGCACCTACAGTGACATATGTTCCTGTGCACTCTCACACRTGTGCACATACGCACATGCCTGTGTGTATTTGCATAGGCCCGTGTGTACTTACAGACATGTGTCTGTGCACACACACGTGTGCATGTGTGCCCATCCTTCAGACTAGCCTGTGCAGAGGCTCAGCAACCCCTCGGTTGGAACTCGCATGCTGTGGAATTGGAGGAGCCTATTCCTGCGCCCTCCCCACCCCCGTGGAGACCACCCTGTGGCCTGGCAGCCACCTCGCAGTGGCTGTCAGCCCTCGCATTCCCTCTGCCACAGGTAACATTGGGGCTTTGCCCCCACGGACGGACAGAGGCTTCACACACGTCCCAAAATCTGCCGGGGACGACCTAGACTGGAGCCGGAGCGGTGCGGCTCCCGCAGTCGCGACTCACTGCTGCCGTCTCCAGGGGAGAGGAAGAAGAGCCCGGCTCACCGGGAAAATTCTCCCCTTAGCAAGAACTGGCATTTCAGATTTCCACTGCTGTACCCTTGGAAACGACCAGGACTTGCTCCGATGCCTATCCCGGGAAGAATTGGAACGTCCTCTGGTGCTCCCCTTGGGAAGGACCAGGACCTTCTCTGGTGCCCTCCCAGAAGGGAGTGGGGCCTGCTCTGTTGCCCCCATCCCAGGTGCAGGGATGTGTGGCATTGGGCTGTGGCGACTGCTCGCCACCCGTGCTTGCCTAGTAGCCCATCACGTGCTTCCGGGACAGTCGTTCCCCCCACTCTGGACAGAGTCATAGGGCACCGGCACCCCTTGTACCTCCTCTCTCCTGGGAATGTTCCTGGGGGAGGGAACATGYTCCTGGTCTCATTTGTGGTCCACAGCCCAGCTTCAGGCCCCTGCTTCTGAGCCTTCTCGTTGTGTTCTGCATCATGATGAGGTCCTTCATCTCCAAGMTGAATATCCAAAAGATTTTCCAGATCTTGAGGTGAACAAGAGTCAGGGGGCTATAGCCCAGGGCCTCTGGTAGTCCAGTCTTGGTATGGGCAGATACAGTGGCCCAGATGTGGTGCCACTATCCCATATGCTGAATCTGTGCTGGGAAAAACAACATCATCGCTTTTTCTTTGCCATCACCTCTTCATCACCTCTTCACCCTCATTTGGGGATGCAGTTCAGACCCTCCCCAGACCCTCAGGGGAGAAACTAGGAGTGATCTTGCGGCTCCTCCCCCCACCATGGCCAGTACAGTGATGGGATCTCTCACCTTGCCGCAGGGTGAGGAGGCTGATCAAAAGGCTGATGAGGATGCTTCAGGCCATCCTCAAGGTAATCCCAGACCTCTGCAACATCACGGGACGTCACAGTTTCTAAGGTCCTTTCCAATCCAAACCCCTCCAACTTATAGCATGTAAGCTGGTATATGGCCCACCTTTCCAGACACCCTGGGTCACAGGAAGATACAAGTCTGTGTCTTCTGGTATGGGAGAAGACTTTGCTGGTGAAAAGTCATGGCTAGAGAGCCTGAAGAAGGCTTATTGAAAAAATATTAGGTAGTGGGAAAGACTCCTCCCTTAACTTTCCCTCAGCACAACTGAGGGGTGAGAGCCAACAAGTTTTCCTGCCTTCTGGGACAGCCCTTACCCTAGTGAGGTCACACGATGACATGTAGGGACATCACCTCTGCTTTGTCCAAACTGGAAGAGTTGAGGACACAACCTGCCAGGCCCTACCCATACCCCTATGTGCTTATCCCAGGGGTAACCCACTAGAGTGAGCCCAAGGCAGCCAATTGACACACATTTATCTATCATGCCGGGCATAGCCTTGTCTTTGTGCACTGGGATGGAGATGACAATTGCTTTCTTCCCACAGAGGGGAAGAAGAAGGTCTGGGTGGGTTGATCTGCCAAGCTCAGCCACGCTCCTGGCACAGGGATGGCATTGCCCAATTGGGGTAGCATCACTGCTGCCAGGCCTTTTGTTCTGCTTTAAAGCTCTTGCACAGTAAGAGGCAAATGTCTGGCCTGCATCTGAGGGTCCTGGCAGGTTTCTGGGTGTCCCTCCAAGCTGAGTTGGAGTCTGGAGGTCCGGTGTCTTTCCTCATCCAGCAGAGGCCATGCACAGCACTTGTGTCTGTCTGTCTGTATTCCAGAAGGCTTCTTCGCATGAAAGTCCATCTCTGCAAGCGATCATCCTTGTCCCAGACCTGGGCATAGAGTTGTCTCTTGCTGGAGAGGAGAACAATGGAGAGAAGAACAAGGGAGAGGAATGAACAGATGGAGGCGACTAGGTGATGGAGAGGAATCAGGGAATGGAGAGAAACTGGGGGATGGAGATAAACAAGATGATGAAAAGATGTGATGGAGAGGAACTAGCAGATGAAGAGGAGCCAACCTCTTTGGTTTGGTAGYCTTGTCAGGATAAAGCCCTGCCCTGTCTCAGTGGCTCTAGTGCCAGTGAGGGCCTGAGCTGACCTCAGTCAGGGGTTTGCCATCTGCCATTGTTAGTGCTACACCCTTAAATATCCCGTAGGCCAGATTTGGTGCCCTTCCTCCCCCTTTTCTCCCTCTGCTTTGCCAGAAAGACCTGATGCACTCCAAGGATGTGGGTGGGACGCAGGGTGGACAGTGGGTGGCAGGCTGAATGAMCTATGAGCAAACAAGGGGCCTCATCTCCTCACACCGAGCCCCTCTGAGGTGCCTGCCCCCCGCCAACAGCACTGTCCCCTGTCTGCAGGGTGGGGAGGTGCCAGACAGCCTCTGGCTGGTGGACCCCAAAATTTTAAATAGATGTAGCTCCCTCTCCCCTACCACGGGTTGCTGCAAATGGGGATGGGAATGGGGGAGTGATGGGAAGGGTCGGATGAGCACGGAAAGATGAGGACTGGGAGGTGATGGAGATGAGAGGACGATGACGAAAGCGGGATGAGAGGGTTGGAGGGTCGCAGCCCCCAGACTGGAACACACCAGATTGATAGGGCGGAAGGGTCTAAAAAGTAAGTTCTTCTAAAATAAAATCTTCTAAAAAAAAAAAAAAAAAATAAAAAAAAAAAAAAAAAAAAAAAAAAACCCAAAAAAAAAAAAAAAAACCCAAACACCTAAGAAACAGAAAATGCATCCTAGTCCCTATCTCCAACCTCAATGTCCTCCACCCCCAAAACAGACGCCCGTCCCCCCAGCAGGTGGTCGCAAGAAGGCCCCTCCGCTTATTTGCATAAATGACVCCACCAGCCGCGCGGACTCTTTAAGGCTCCCCCCGGGCGCGACGCCACCGGCAGCAGCGAAGGGGCGGTGCCACGGCGGCAACAGCCAATCAGCACGCGGCATTTTCCGCGGGAAATCTGAATTTCGCGGGATGGGTTTCGGCGCTTAAAAAAAAAAAAAAAAAGAGCGCTCGGGGCCCGGCGCAATCGGCCGGGAGCGGAGCTGGGCGCGGGGGTCCCGGGCCAGGCGGGGACGCGCTTCGGCCGCCACGGCCCCATACGGCCTCAGTGCAGACAATTTTTGGGGCCTAAAGCGATTTTTCCTCTGGTTTTGGCTACATCGCCGGTCTGTTCTTCTCTGCAGATTTTTCAGGGGGAATTCGGGGGTCGGCCGGTGGCATCGCCCGCCAGAAGCCCTCCCCGCTCTMCCGAAATGTCACGGCTGAGATTGTGACCCCCTCCCGGCTACGGAATCGCGGGGTGCTCCTGCCCCCTCCTCCGGGCCGGGCTTCTCGGAAAGGACTTCGCAATGCTGCGGCTCCCCAGGGGAGTGTCCCCCGCCCCGGGGAGGGGGGGCACCGCCCTCCCTCCCCCATCTCCCCACCACCACCCGAAGAAGGTCATGTCGGTGATGGGCTCCTGCGATCTGGGGGCTTCTAGCCTGGGCAGCCCCCCGTTATCCAACCGGTGCTTCACCCAGATCTACACGCCAGCGGCTGTCAGCGTCCCCGCTTCCCGGGGCCGGTGTCTCTGTGACACCCCCCAGGGCCCCGAGCTCAGCACCCTTTGCTCAGCCTCGGCAGGACGGCTGCCGGTAAGATGTCTACATCCCGTCTCTTCCTCGGGCATCATTTCGGGGGCACGGGAGGCTGGAGGTCGTGCTGGGTGGGGAGCAAGAGGTGAGTGACCCCAGCATGTACAGCCCCTTCCCTTCCAAAATTTTCAGCTTATATTGGAGTTTGCACCCCCTACTGTGTCTTTTTGGGGGTGGGGGAGGGTGAGGTCTGAAATCAGAAGTCGCAGTGAAATGGCTCAGATATTTCTCAACTTCCCCTTGCCCCTACGTGCCCGCCTCTCTGGCTTCCGTTTCTGGGCCTTTTTCTGCCTTTTTTCTTCTCTCCAGCTTGCAAAAAAATGCGGGTTGTGCCAGCAATCCCAGGCCCTTTGAAAAGCCCTTACTATGGTGGGGAAGTGAGGAATGGGTATAGGCAGAGCCCCTGCCTMCTCTGGATGGGGGGAGCACAAGCCCTGGCAGCTGGCTCTCACCACTTTGGAGCTGTGATTCCCGGGGTAACCAGTCACTTGGGGAGGTGTGAAGACAGGGCCCAGGGGTGCTACAATGTCTGCCCAAGCTTGGTTTCTGCCCGGTTACAGTGGGGTTTGCAATGCCTGTTTTTTGAGATGTGTGTGTGTGTGATCCTCCATGAATTGCCCTAAGGCTTTGTAGCTCAGACCCTGATGTGGGGACAGTGTAGGGGGTTGCTGTCTCATATCCCTGCCACCAAACCGCGGGGTCACGGCTGTGCTCACAAAGCCCAACACCCGTTGCCTCTAAACATAGAAACTGAGGTACAAGTCGGGTTTTGTCCCTGTACCCAGTGTCAGAGCACACAGGAGGGTCTGCTCAGCCTATCCCTGCTCCCGGAGGGCCCCCTCCYGGTCCCCGGCCCGTGGCCCCACTGGCAGCTGGCATTTAATTCCTGCCTGCCCCAGCCTGGGCACACATCCAGTCCTGACTGTGAGCCTCTGTTCTCCTCGGRTCCTGGGAGGGATCCCAGACGCTGCTAACACCCATTTAGTTTCTGCAAAGCTTGATTTATTTCTTTATTCCCCCCCTTTCCCCAATCCCTGATGCTTGGTGCCAGCTGGGGACATTGCCCTGGTGTTGGGGGGAGAGGGAGTTTCTTTGCTTCCCACTTTGTGCCATGGCTGGGGGGTTGGATGGAGCTGTTTTGAGTCCCATCCCGGGGGACTTCGGGACCACCTGTCTCTCTACAGCCTCTTTGTTTCTGAACTGCGTGAGATGCCACATCCTGCATTGCTGGGGGCTGTTGTTAAAGGTGACAACAATCATTGATACCTACTCAATTAAAAACACCCCATAGGCTCCCAGTACCATTTCAGTGGATCTGCAGAGCTGGTTTTGGGCAAATGGCCTCTTGATCATGGCCACCACCTACACCAGGAAATGTTCCGGGTGCTCCCACCCACAACTGTCCCTTGAACAGGGGGACTCGGGACAACTGGGGACATGACGTGTTCCTCTATCCCCCTTGGTGGCTTGCGAGAGGTGTTCCCCCCTGTCCCCATCTCCTTCCCTGCTGCCATTATCCCATTTGCAGTACCCAAGACACTATTTCCAGCCATGGTGTGGCACTTGCGGCCCTGACAGCTGGGGTTCCTGCCACAGCACCCTGTTTATGCCACAACTTTTGTGTGCAGAGTGGAGGTAATCAGATAATGAGCGTTTCCTCCCAATTCCCAAGCAGGACAATTGTGGCCGCTCCCACTGGCATTGTGCCAGTGAGTGATCTGGGGTCACATGGAAGAACCTATCACCGTGCCCGGGAAAGCAGGATGGATTGTCTCTCATGGTCCAAAAAAGCCTTAAATTTCCCATGCTCTCCGATTTGAGGGTTCTGGAATAATTAAATGCATTGCCCTCCGTGGAAGATGGTATTTCAGAGTGGTTTTAGCTCATGCCAATCCCGTCCTGAGTGTTTGCTCATCTGTGGTCYGTATAGGGTCTGTGGGGTCTCTATAAGGGCTTAGGGCTATGCAAGAGCACTGGAGAGAGGGGAGTTTCCGCTGTGGGATCCCAGCTCTCCCTGCCTTCTCTGTGCTGGAACAAGGGTGTCCAGAGTCCGCTGTGGTTCTGTACGAGCTGGCAGGGCTGAGCTGCCAGTGCAAAGAGCACGCGAGAGTGGCAGCAGGGTGGTTTTCCATGTTCTCCAAATAGGTGATCAGCCTCCATTCCCCTGTCCCTGTGTCTTGCCGTACTAGCCCTCAGCAAGTCCCAGGTAGCAGGGATTTTGCCCAGCAGCCTCTTGGCACGAGCAACCAGCAGGATCCTGGAGTACCCCGTGGCTCCTGCCAGCTCTGGATGTCCATCCCCAAGCGCTGTGTTCCAACACCCCTGTGGGGCTGGCAAAACGGGGAGCTGGGGGGAACAAAGGCGGGAGCCCCATGAGGGGCTGGGCAGAACCCGGGCAAGCCCGGACAAGGCAGCAGATGCTGTTGAAAGGGAAGGTTGGCAGGAGGAGCCCCCGCGGGGGGACTGAGGGATGCTCTGATGCTTGGGCTGGCTTGCAGGGTGTAGCCTGTGCTGTCAGGGCTGGCTTCAGGGATGCTTGGGAGGCAGGGCTTGCAGGGGGCCCAGCCTGTCCCCCCACTGCCTGGCACCAGCCCCAGAGTCTTGGGGTGAAACCTCATTTCCCACCCCCATACTGTACCATCATATTGGGGTGTAGGTGGTGTGTTCCCACATCCTGGGGAACCATGGCTRGGGGCTGGCAAGCAGCGTGAGGTGATCCTGCCATGTCTTGCGGCGAGGTCGTTGGGTTTGGTCACTGCTTTCCTACTTGCTCTGGGTCATCCCACCCCGCTCAGTGCTGACAGGATGCTGCGAGCCCCTTGCTGYGCCCCACTCAGCTGTTGTGTGCCTAATCCTGCCCAGCTGAAGGGATGGCAGCTGGGTCACAGGAGGGAGCCCCTTGTCCATTGTCCCTTGCTGGTGGGTCCCAGAACTCAAGGTCCTGTCCCTCCCTAAGACCACCAAGCCCCCACCCCCCCAAACTACACTTGGGGGAGCAAGGGTCTCCCTTTATGCCCTCCTGCACATGGGGAGAGGGTATTTGGGACATTTGGAGGTGTCTGGGAACACCAGGACCTGCTGTGGGTTGCTCTGTGCCTCGGTTTCCCCATTGCTTGGGGCAGGTGGGGTGCAGCTGACCTCCCCAACAGTGATGGGAACATATTTTGGCCATGGCCATCCATGCCAGAGAAGCAAGGGCTACCAGTGTGGCAGGGGCGGGTGTTAGGGTGATGCTATCCCTCCTGTGCTGGCAGATGGATGGGGTCTTATCTGAGGCAGGTGTTTGCCCTGTGCTTGGCATTAACTGTTGTGGTGCCGGCAGCTCCGGGGCAGATCTGGGGGCACGAGACTAGGGTTGGAGGCACATTCCCTGGGAAAAACCTGCTCGGGGAAGGGTGGGAGGGAATAGATTCCCACAGGAGCTTGGGACCAGCCTGGCTCCCTGGGGGGCAGAAAACAGCCCCTGGCGCCTCTACTGCCAGCCCCCTCGGGTGGGAATGATGCCGAGGTGCCCAACCCTTCTCCACAAAGTGCGCTGTGCTCCCAAGGGAGCTGCTGTTGGAACCAGCATAGGGACCTGGGTGCCATGCGGGATGTGCTGGGGGAGACCCTGTGGGACAGCTTGGCCTGGGAGTAGGTACTAGGGGGTTGTTGGGATGGGGCTAGGGGGCTGCTTTCTGCTGTTGAACCAAAGTGTTCCCACCAAAATCACCCAGTGCGTATTTTGGGTGTGGAGGGGTCCTGGGGGATTTGCTTGCATTGGTGAGGGGGTTGGTGACACCCTCCAGCTCTCCTCTGAATTTATTCTGCTGCAGTTTTCCCTGAGTCCCTTCTGCCCAAGTGTTGCTCAGGTTTCCTTGGCGGRGATTTCAAGGAGCTGCTTGCCCTCGTGAGAGGACAGCAGGTGCAGGGATGTGCTGGGTCTCCCCTCCCAGGACCCAGTACAATCCCCCTCACCCCAATTTCCCTCCAGCTGGGTGCATGTGTTCAGGGCACCCAAGGGTCCAGGGGGGCTGAACCTGGCTGCTCCCAGGTGTGCTGGTGGCAGCTGTGTGCCCTCAGCTGCCTCAACCGTGACCACGGTGAGAGGGGGGGAAGTGAAATCCTACACCCTGGTGAGCCAGTTGGGAGGGTGAGGATCTGGCTTCAGAGCTGCTGCATTCCCAGGGCTCAGCCCTGTGGACCCCTGCCAGGAGTTGGGGGTGAGGAGAAATCGTGGTGGGGTTCCCTGGGACTGCCAGGGTGGGCAGAAAGCCATGGCGGGTGGCAGGACCCCTCATCTCCTCTCTGTCCAGTTGCCCCGGTGRCCTCACACTGCTGGGTGCTCCTGTGCCCCTTCCCAAAAGAGGTATTGCAAATGGATGAGCCTCTTGCAGGATTCCCCCACCCCAGGATTTGGCACCCAGGGCTCGGCTCATGACCCCGGTGGGGTATGGAGAACTCAGAGGTGAGTCTGGCTCGGCCACAATGCAGCGTTTTCTCCCGTGCTCCAGGCCAAGAGGAAGCTGGACCTGGAGGGCCCCGGATTTCGCACACCCAAGGGGAAGGGCCGGACACTGGCACAGGTCCCCAGCCCCAGGAGTAAGTGATGTGGGGTGAGATGGGGTAGGGGAAGCTGGGGGGAGCAGACTCCACTTCTCTCTTAGAACCATGTCCCCTCTAGCACTACCTCATGTCACCTCCATCCCACATCCCATGTTAAGGAGGGGGCGGGTCTCTTGTGTACAGCCCAGTCATATCTCCATTCCTTGGCCCTGGCTAAGGAGAGGATGGGGAGATCTCTTGTCTCCAATCCTATGTAATCTCTGTCCCACATCCCACATTAGAGAGGAAAATGTGACTCTCAGGTCTAGCCCCGTGTCATCTCCATCTCACATCCCAAACTTAGGAGAGGATGGGGGGGATCTCTTGTTCCCCGCAGCCCCCAAGTCTCCTGGGGAGAAAACTCGCTACGACACCTCACTGGGGCTGCTCACCAAAAAATTCATCAGTTTGCTGAACGAGTCTACCGATGGTGTTGTGGATTTGAACCGGGCCGCTGAGGCACTGGAGGTCCAGAAACGCCGCATCTACGACATCACCAATGTGCTGGAGGGCATCCAGCTCATCTGCAAGAAATCCAAGAACCACATCCAATGGATGTAGGTGATGCTGGGCAGCTGAAAATGGGACATGGGRATGGGRCAGAGTGGGGAACAGGTGGCTTGGGGACATGTAGGGTGTGCTGTGCCATTGCTCAGATGCCACMTCCATTGGCAGGGGTACGGGGATCTTTGAGGATGCAGCAATGATGGCGAAGCAACAGGTGCTGCAGGGGGAGCTGGCCGAATTGGCTAGGACAGAGAGGATGCTGGACCAGCTCATGCAGGACTGTGCCCTGCAGATCCGGCAGCTGGCTGACAACGAGAACAACCAGAGATATCCTTGCTGGGGGAGATGGGAGGGAGGACAGGGTCTTGGGGATCCCTCTGAGCCCCTTTTCATCCAGTTGGATTCCCCTGGGCTTAAGGGGTGTTTGGAGGGAAGTGGGGGTTGATGTCCCACTTGCAGCCCCTCATTTTCCTATATCTCGGCCCTGTCCACGCTGGCATATGTCACCTACCAGGACCTCCGTGCCATCAGTATCTTCCAGGAGCAGACAGTGATTGCTGTGAAGGCTCCCCCCGAGACACAGCTAGAGGTACCAGACTTCAGCCAGGTATGTGCTGGTGTTGCTGTATCCGTGCTGCACTCGATGGGTCCCTCTGGGCCATGCCAAGGACACAGGCCAGCATGACCTTGGTTTTGGGGTGTCTCCACAGGGCTRTTTGACCCTGAGCTGGTCCTTCAAGGATTGCAATGCCCCAACTGGATCCCTCATGGGTTGGGGAGGTGGGATATGGGTGACCTTCTGGGTGCTCCTCTGAGCCTTACTCTGCCCTTCCAGGAGAACTTCCAGCTCCACCTGAAGAGCACCAGTGGGCCCATTGAGGTGTACCTCTGCCCAGAGGAGATCACAGAGGAAAACCCCACCAACGACCACCCTGTCCCCTCTGCTGCCATCACCCCACAGGACAATCCTGTACCCCTTTCCCCACCGAACAGCTCCCCGTTGGCCACACAGCCACCCGACACCACCTCCCAGACCTGGGGGGGCACAGGAACTCTTCTCTCACCCCCATCTCTGCCTCTTCCCACCCTGGAGGGACCCAGCTCAGTGCTGGAGGTGGAGCCTGGGCTCCTGGGCTCCCCTGCCCACTTGCTGCAGCAGACTGAGGACCAGCTGCCCTGCACCCCCTCCCACCTGGACTTGAGACCCTTTGTCACCTTCTCGCCCCCCCTGGAACAGGACAACTATCTCTGGGGGCTTGAAGGCGAGGGTATCACAGATCTCTTTGAGACATATGACCTGGGGGACCTGCTGAAGCATTGAGTATCCCTCCAGTCCCCATTGCCTTTGTCCCCTCAGGCCACTTCTGTCCCCGCTGGCCACTTGTGTCCTGAGCAAGTGGGGTCTATGTGGTGTGACTGGAGAGGGTGGGGTGTGTTGGGGACCGCTGGGTTTTCTGAGGCTGGGGTTGAGGGCGGGACTTGTGTTGCTTACCCAGTGTGGTTTCTCTACACTCTCCTGGGTTGGTCGTCACATCACTGGGCTCTGCGAGTGCCCTGGGATCCATCCAGGACCCATCCCAGCATCCCCCCATAAAACGATGGGGTGATGGCACCTATGCTTCCCACCATAATCCCCCATCATCCTGGGAATACTGGTGGACTGGGGGTGCCTTTGGGTGACCCAGTTGGGTCAGGAGCACCCCTGGGTGGCAGAGAAACCTCTGCCCAAAATGGGCTGTGTCATGTTTCAGAGTCACTTCAGTTGCTCTCCATTTAAACTGGTTCTTACTGGTCATGACAGGTCATTTCCAGTGGCATTTTCCCCACCAGAGCTGAAATATCTTTAAAAAAAAAAAAAAAAATTCAGGCAGCAAAGCTGAAATCACCTTTGGGTGAGGGAAGGATGAAGCTCATGTGGCTCTGGCAAATCCCTGGCCAGGACATGGAGCCATATTCCCTGAGGAGCTGCAGCCCCTCTGCTCCAGTCCGTAGCAGGTCCCTCCACCCTCTTGGAGCTACTGGTGCTGGGAATATAAAAAACGGGAATGTACTGGGAAGAGGCATGCATGGAGGAGGTGATGACCTGCAGAGAGAGGTTTGGGAAACAGCTTGGGACAAGCCCTGGGGGCAGGATAGGGCTTTTAACTGTGCCATTCCTTGTGAAATATCTAATTATTGCACTGTATTTATCTGGACCCCCATGCTTTGGTATGGGACTGGCAGGGCTGGGAGGGATTGGATTTGTCAGTGGGTGTATTTAACTTATTCCTTGGGTTGTTGGTGCTCCTACAGATTTACTCACTGGTGGTGTGGGTGAGAGTGTGTTTTGGCCTGGAAAAACTTGTGGCACTTGATGTTTTCTAACCAGGAGGGCTTAAAATAAAATAAAACTTTGGTGTTATAAAGGGCTGTTTTCCTCTAAGCAGCAAAATACTGGAATGGTTTGGGAGGCGGGAGGAGCTGGGCTGTTTTTGCTCCTGTTTTCACAGTAAAGTAGCCTGTTTTGGGGCTTTTTAACTGGCCAGCCTGCTCCGTAGACACTTGTGGAGAAGCGGTTTGAGATGAAGCTTTGGCTGGAGCGAGGAAAATGGGTCCAACCCGCTCAGACTGGTGATTTGCAGCCCAAATCTGGCTGGGACGAGCCTTTGCCTGAGCTAGAGCCCCTTAAACCAGGAGTGTGGCAAAAGCCCGAGGGATGGCGGTCAGCTCCCTGTGGATCCTGGGGCTAGATGGGCTGATGCACCCCGATTTGGAAGCTGCAGAGCAACATCCTGCGGGAACTGTGTCCATGTAAGGTTCTTCCCTGTGTGGTACCTGGGGATGCCACAAGTGCTGATGGCAAAGTGCTGGTCAATGGTACCAGGTGATGTTCTGTGGTATGTGGTGGTGGCTGGTGGTACCCAGTGATGTCCAGAGGTATCCAGTGATGCCTGGTGGTACCTGGTGATGTCTCATGGTACCTGGAATCGTGGCACACATCGGCGTTGCATAGTTTGTCTGAAGCTATGGAGGGAGAGGTGGAGGAGGAAGAAGAGGAGAGCCGCGGGCCAGGTGAGCCGGGCGAGGGGCCCAGAGCTGCCATCCCCCGTGGGGTTTTAGTGTCCCGCAGCGGCTGCAGGGGGGTCCCCTTGCCGCTTGTCCCCCCCCCGCCAGCGCTCCCCGCAGTCCCCAGGCCGGCCAGGAGGTGGCAGGGCCACACCAGCCAAGAGACGCCTCGGGGCACGGGGGGGCTGCCTGCGGAGAGGTTCTTATCCCAAATCCCTCTTGCTTCAGTCTTGCCTGGGCTGCAGCCTTTTAACCCTGTGTCTGTCATAGCCCTGCCGAGGGAGATGTCAGGCTCTCTGCAAACCGAAGGAGGGCACCCCAAACCGTGCGCTCCCCTGCTTGCCTGAGGGGTGGAATCTTTCAAGCCCAGCCGTTCACCCAAGGCTTGTTCTTCCTGTATTCCAGTCCTCCTCAGCACTTCATTAACAGCGGGTTAGAGGAGGGCTTGGGCTGGCTCTGGTTAGGCACAGACCTCAGTTTTATTGAACTCCTGGCTCAGTGAAAGGGTCGAAGGTCTGTGACCCCCTGAYCCACCGTGAGTTAAGGGGTGCAGGGGACATGGAGGGGTCTGCAAAGCCCCATTGGCGACTCTCATGGCAAACCAGCCCCAGTGAGAGTTTCTGCCCCATTTTATTCCAGTTTGTCACTGTCCCCAGCCCTGTAATGGTGCGCTCTCAGCGCCTGCTCAACCTCATTGCCTGCTCCTGAATTGTCCAGGCTACCCCGTCCTCCGGGAAGAGCAAACAAGCAGGAATGGGACTTTCCATTGAGAGGTGAGACGAATGAGGGGACAGAAGAGGGAACAAAGAGGTCGCCTCCAGTAGGAGAAAAAGCCAAGGGCTTCAATTATTGCCCCCTGCCCAAGGATTGTCCCCTCGGGGTCCTGGCAAGGGCAGGGTGAGGTGACCTCCTGTTAAACTGATGTTTGGCGGGGGGGGGGACACTGAGCATAATGCTGAACCATCTCCTACCAAGCTGGGGAAAGGTGGTTGCTGGGGTCCCTGGGAGAGATGGGTGCTGGAGTGCTGGGGTGAGGTGAGTTCCGGGCTGAGGTGGGTCGGGGTCCCTGGTTGCTGAGGTTACGTGGGTGCTGGTGCCTGGGGAATGCGGGTGTTKGCGTTAAGGAGGTGCTGAATGCCGGGGAAAGGCGGTCGCCAGGTGCCGAGGCAAGGCGGGGGGTGCGGATCCAGCCACACCCAGAGGTTTTCCCTTCGTCCCACCACAGCACGGGAGAGTCCTGCACCTCCTACAACCCGGCATGGGGGTCGTGGGGACAGTTCTCGGGGAGCAGTACGGCTCTTCGCCTTTAACGTGCGGACGGGCGGGGCCGCCGCGTGACGGCGGAGAGGCGGGAGCGGGCGGAGGGAGGCTCGGAGCCGCTCTCGGTGCGGCGCGGGGCTCCCGCTGCGGGGCGCTGAGCCGGGCTGAGCCGGCACCCCGGGGCGCTCGGCAGGGGAGATCTCCCCCCCGCGCTCTCCCTGCTGCTGCCCGGTGTCCCCGGTGGCCCCCGCACCATGCCCGAGCAGCTCAGCGTGGCCGAATTCTTGGCCGTGACCAGCGAGGATCTCAGTTCCCCGGCCGCCGCCTTCGCCTCCAAGATGCAAAAGTGCCGGGGGGCCGTGGGAACTCTGGAGGAGGTGAGCGGGGCCGGGGGGTGGTCGTGGGGTCAGGCTGCGCACCCCACCTGGGAACATCTGCCGCATCTCGCCTGGGAACACCTTCACACCCATAGGTACTAGTCCCTTGATGATTGTGCCTCCCTCAGGCTTCTGTTTTTTGGCGCCCACCCTTTCATCCCAAGACTATGCTGGTCATCCTGAGCGGGTAGTTTGGCACCCTCGGCTAGGGGGGCCGTTTACATCTTCCAAGCAACCCCAGCGTGCTTTGATGGGGAGCAAAGCCTGTAGAAAGGGGCAAAGGCATCTTAAAAGTTCTGGGTGCACRCCGGGGCCAGGACATACCCCTCATCCCCCTGAAATCAGGGCAGCCTATTTCGCTATTTCTAGGGACAGGGCATTCCCCCTGCCCCTCTGGGGATCAAAGTATTCCTCCCTGGGGCAAGGGCATCCTTTTGTCCCACCGGGACCAGCACACTGCTCCTGTCCCAGGGCCCAGGACATGCCCCCAGAGAATCAGCCCCACGTTTCCATCCACTGTTAAGCTCCTGTGCTAAAGCCAACTGCAGTGGGATGTGGTGTCCCTGTGGGGGCTTCTCCTTGACTAAAGCCAGGGGAGTATTTTTAGCCTCTCYCAAAATCCTCAGCAACTTTTGTGGGAGGGGCAGAGGTGGTGGGGTGCCTTGCCCCTTCTCCTGCCTAGAATAAAGGCAGTTTCCAGCTGGTCCTGTGGCTTTTGCCAACTCCTCTTAGCTAAGGAATGGCTTTGAAGGAGAGCCAGGGCTGGCAGGGAGTGGGGGCCCCCCGGTGCCAGGGCTGCCAGGATACCTGGGGGCAGTGGAATGGGTGTCCTGGGCCTGGAAATTTGGGGACACACCATGGAGCATCCTGGTCCACATCAGCACATGCTGGTCGCTGCCATGGATCCTCCTCCCAGTTGGGAAAGGGGAGGCAGCTCCAGCCAGGAGGGAGCAGCAGGACTTTTGTTTGCCTGCTTGGAAAGGCTGTGGTTAAGGGACACAGGGATGTGGGGAATGACAGGGGGGTCTCTGGGGTTGGCTTAGTAAAGCTCCAGCAAGCATATGAGAGAGCTGGGAATCATGATGCTGTCGTATGTGCCATGGAGGGTGCAGGCCTGAGCTCCCCATCCCACTGGAGGCTCTGGGGAGGGGGCCAAAGCCCATGTCTCAGCACCAGGGGGAGGAGGGAAATCCAACCAAACCAGCTCCATGCTATCCTCGGAGCTCCAGTGCGGTGATAGCATCAGGCAAGAGGGATAATCTGTGGTGGACTTGGGGAATGCTGCAGAGTAGGAGAGACACTCTGTGACCAAACTGAGCCATAGTCTTTCCTTGGCAGACAGGAAGGAGTGAGGGATCCTGGTCTCATTCCAGTGACTGCTAGGTGGGAAGGGATCATTGTATCCCAGCAGGACCCTGGGAACAGAGCATGCACCCCAATGGGAGTGGGTTCCAAGTCGGGGGCAGGAGCAGGCAGGGAGAGGGCTGGAGACTGGTGCTTAACATTGAAGAGACATCCTGGTGTTGGCCGGAGCTGCCCTGTGCCTCAGCTTCCTTCCTGAGATTAAAGAGGGCTCTCGCCTCCCAGGGGTTTGTGTGACTTCAGGGTCCTTGGGGCTAATGTGTAGACACAAGCTGGAAGGTCGAATCTAGCCCTTGGTGGTTGGGGCTGGGTGCTTGTGTGCATGCCAGAGAGGACTGGACACCTCAGGGCTGGGTCAGGGTGACATGGCAGAGGCTGCTAGCAGATGAGCTCCCATCTCACCCTGTCACCCACAGGAGTGCTACATCCTGCTCCTGACCTGGCAGCTTGGCACCCCAGCTCTTGCACCCGTGACAGCTCCTTCTCTGAGTCAGCGGTGGTGGGGGGGATAGCAGAATGGCCTCCATTGAGCATCCTGCTTGCATTCACCAGGCTGTGAGCCTGGCTAGCTGTGATGCAGATRTGGGTTCATCCCTTCCTTCATCCCATGGGGAACTTTCTGCTCCTGTCCCTGCTGTACCAATGTCCTCAGCTGCCCCCTGACTGGAAGCCCTTGAGCTGGGGGATGATGGGTGCCATGGCGGGCTCCGGACGTCTCTGCCCCTCTGCTCCCATGCAGCCAAGGCCCCTGTTCCTGGCACCCAGCCCTGTACATTGGGCATGCCAGTGCTACTTGCAGCTAGGGCAGCAYTGCACAGTGATCCCCTCTTCATTTACCACCCAAATGCTTGGTGCTGCCCACTCTGTGCCCACTGGTCAACTCATGGACCTCTTCCTGAAAGCCCTTTTGTTCTTCCCTGGATCATCCCTGCTCTGCACCAGCCCTGCATTCTGCATCCTGTCACAGTGCGCTGGCACCAGGATGAGCTGCTCTGTCCTGGGCACTTGAAATAGCTTCTTCCTGCACTTGCCTGGTGATGCTTCCAAAGCATTTCATGCTGCTTTAGTTTCTCCTTCCTAAGACTCTGCCAGCTTAGCAAGTCTGGAGCACCTGGGCATCCAACCCTAGCTTCCCCCAGAGGCAGGGAATAGCTCTGCTCTGGAGAGCTTGGTACACCTGGATTTGACACAGAGAAGGACCAACGAGGGGCTTTGGTAAACCCCTATGTTCTCCCCATTGTAGATGCATTGCAAGACTCCCCGGAGCAGGGGATTTGGCTCCCACCTCAGCTTCAGTCCCCTCCCAGCCAGTTCATCCTGGCAGCATCCCATCCAATGACGAGAGCAGTGCTGAAGCCAGGCTGATCCTGCTGTCAGGAAATCAGCCTTGACATCAGCCCGAAAGCCTTTGACAGAGCTCAAGCAGAGAGAGGGCCTCTTTATTGTAATTCCTCCACAGTTTCATCCCTGCTCTTTCTGCTGTTCACGCCCTCTAAATATTTCCAGCCTATTATCATGGCTCTGGTACCTGCAGCCAAGCCACCCTTAACCCTTTCCTGATGCTGGGGCCAGTGTGTGCTCAGATGCTTGGGCCGACAGCACCACAGCCCCTTGCCCTTGKGTTGAGTGGGGCTGAATTTGTTGTGGTACTTAGGTGGGGTTGAATTTGTCATGGTTCTCAGTGGACAGTTCAGGGCTGTACAGGTAGGAAGGTATGAGGGGATGGGAAGAGCTCTAAACCAGAGCAGGATGGGGCCAATGGGGCAGCAGGGAGATTGATGGTGTTAAGGACCATGGGAAAAACACTGCATGAGTTGGAGCAGGGGTTTGGAAAGTCATGTTTCTCACTGTGGGATTTAGCACACAACCAGCACAAGGGTTTATGTGATTTAGGTCCCCATCAGCAGAAGGTGGGTCCTGTCTTCGACTCTGTGGGGAGCTGGGCACCCTCACAGTCTCGCTTTGTTCTGAGCCATGGGGATGGGTTGATGTGCTACATGATGCTTCAACCCCTCTTTGGTTGAAGTAGTCCCTTCAAGAGCCAGTGAGGCATTTTGCATGGTTGCTAGAAGCTGCTAGGAGCCAATGAGCCTCTCACCTCCTGCTACTGTCTTGCTCAAACCCTCTTCTCTGGAGCCAGCCAAAGCCCTGCCTGACAGCAAAGGGGACCACAGCCCTGGTGGGAAACTGGCTGGACACTGTGGCTCCAGCATCCCCAGGATGCCTTCAGCTCCTTTCCCGTCCCTGGGAGCTTGGATCCTGCCCCACACATCTGCACAGCAGAGCTGCAGCCTTTCCAAGGGCCAGCTGGGCTGAGGGAGAGGCAGCCGTGCTTGGCTAATGGGCTCCCTTTGTTTTCTCTCTTTGCTTTCACAGAGCCTGGATGGGGACCAAGCTGTGCTCCAGAGGATCAGGAAATATGTGAAAGCCATTCACATCTCCGGGCTCAGTGAGTTAGGCTTTGGGAGKTGATGGGCATTCCCAGACCTTGGGGCTGAGGAGTGTGCTAGTGCCATCCTCCACCAACAGTGGTCACACCAGGCGGCAGGGTGGTCGTGGTGAGCCTGGAGTGAGCCTTGGGACTTGGGTTCTACTAGCCAGCCAGCCTGGCAACATGCTAAGGTGCCAAAAATGGTCTTAAAACAATATAAAAAGGGAAACTGAGAGCCTGAGGAAGGTTGTTTTGGGCATCCCAGTGCTGTCTTGCACCAGTATCAGCCTAGCTTTGCTACAGAAGGATGAGGAGGTGGTTGCTGGTCGGAGCTCCATGATGTGATCTGGCAACATGCTTAGATTCCAAAAACTGTCTGAAATACAGGTAAAAAGGGAAATTGAGAATCTTATGAAGGTTGTTTTGAGATGCCGCTGCTGTCCTGCATCAGGATCAGCCCAGGTCTGTTACAAAGGGATGGAGAGATGGTGGGACYTCACAGTGTGACCATGGTGTGTCRGGTGCTGCAGGGTTACCCCCTGTCTCTCTCCGGTGTTTCCCCATAGCCCACGTGGAGAATGAGGAGCAATACAGCGAGGCCCTGGAGAACTTCGGCAACAACCACCTCTCCCAGAACAACCACGAGCTTTCCACCGGCTTCCTAAACCTGGCCGTCTTCACCCGTGAGGTCACTGCACTCTTCAAGAACCTGGTAAGCTGTCCCAAATCCACTTGGATTTGGACACTGCCCCCCTCCCCCAGTCACTGCAGCTCCCCTTCTTTCAGGTTAGCTGCCATTCACCACATGCAGCAATCCCCACCTCCCACCCTGGGCTCAGAGCCACATTTCCAGTGCTCCCAGACCATCTGATACCCCTGTTATTGGATTTAAAGCTCACTCCCAGCTCCCTGGGGCCACTAACACTGGGATCTGATGGGAAGCTGGGGCTGCTATTTTGATTTTTCCTCTATTTTCTTGTTTTCTGTTTTTTTTTTTCTCACATCAATTGCATCTCTGATCTTGCTTGCCAAGAGTAAATCAAAGCCATGCTGGGCTGCACAGTGGGGCCATGGGGAGCAGGCAGACGCGGCTGTGAGCTGAGCCAGGAATGGTTCAGATGGAAAACTCAGCTTCTGAATGGAGCTGGGTCCATGCATGCCCAGCAACAAATCCCCGGAAAGTCGTATGTGGCCCCTTCCCTATTCACTTAGAAATCTCCCTTTCCAAGGGGTGTTTTTGGCCTCTGGCTTTGCTTAAGGAGGAAATTTATTTCTGCTGCCCTTCCCCAGCAAGAATTTCAGATTTTTGGCATCTTCCTCTCCCAGTTACCCCAATCTGGGCCCCCCTGCTCCTCCCCTTCCCCATCCTGGGGCCTGCTGGACCCTGTGCTTCTGTAGGGCTCTGCAGAACTGTCCTGATGGAGGAGTTGGACCAGTTCTGAGGGCCCCCACCTCCCATCCCACATGCTGCTGAGTGAGATTTTGTGCCAAGGCTCTCAACCAGATCCAAAAAACTGTGTTTCCCCTCACAGAGTCTCCCTGGAGCTCCCCCATTACCCCTAGTTTGGGAGTGGTCCTGTGCCCTAGGGCTACATTTCTCCCCAGGTGCTGCAGTGAACCAAAACCCTTTAAAAGAAATCTGGGTGCAGTGGGAGGTCCTATGTRGTGCTGCTCTCTCACCTCTAAGATGGGGTGCTGCTCTGTGGGGTGCATGGAGGGATTCCGGGACAGCAGAGGACTCTCATGTCCCCACTAGGGACCTGTGCACAGTACCGGTGGGGATGGTGGTGGCTGCACTGCTGTCCCCAAATCCCAGCAAAGGGAGACATTTTGGGAAACCCCTTTGACATGGGTGAGCTCTTTGTATCACAGGGCCATGGAGGAGCTGCTGGTATCTCTGGGTGCTGGGGACGGGGATGGAGACAGGGGACRAGGTATCAGTGCGGGGAGACAGCTTTGTTTTTGGCAGCTGTGATGCTGATGTGGTTTGTGGGAAGGGCTGCATTCGTCAGACATCTTGCAGCCAGCTCGAACAAGCCCCAGCCTGCCCTCTGCCAGTATCCTGGAATCAGCCGCACTTGCAGCCTCTTTAACCCTTCCTGGGGCAGTGATGGAGCTGGGGGGGAGGTCCCTGGCACTGAGAAGGACCTGGGGCTCCAGCTCCCTGAACTTCCCCCACCATGGGGTGACCCTATCTCTATCTTCCACAGGTGCAGAACCTGAATAACATTGTGTCCTTCCCCCTGGACAGCCTGTTGAAGGGGCAGCTGAAGGACGGCCGCCTGGTGAGTCCTGTCCCATGAATCACCCAGGGCGACATTCTGCACTGAGACCCCTGGTACAGACTCAACACATGCCTGTGGCCAGGAGAAGGAAGGAGCCAGTACCAGGGGCTGGAAGGGAGCAGAAAGGGTTGGGAATGACAGAAGCGAGGTGTGAGGACTTGGTAGGGACACCCCTCACCCCCAAGGGGTGTAGCAATGTAGAGCAAAGCTCTTGGCCCCTTCAGTGCCACTGGCTGTTTTGCTTTCTGTCACAAGCTACCACTCCCTCTCTCCTTTGCCACAGGACTCCAAGAAGCAGATTGAAAAGGCCTGGAAGGATTATGAGACCAAAGTGTAAGGAACATGCTACCTCCGGCAAAATCTGCCTAATCCCTCTGTGCACAAAGGTGTTTTGTCCCCAGGCTATAGCCAGGCACTGATGGTGCCAGTTTGTCACAGGGAGGGCTCTGGTCCAGCTTTTCCAAAAGGGGAAAAGGGAGAGGGGCTGGAGAGGGCCTGGAGATGTTTCTCCTGATCTCATCCCCACTGCAGTTTCCTACATGGGACACCTCTTGGAGCAGGGATGTCCCACTCACCGCCATCCCATTCCACAGGGGGAAGATGGAGAAGGAGAAGGAGCGAGCCCGCTTGGCTGGGGTTATCCAGGCTGAGCCGGCAGCGCTGGAGGTGGCCGAGGACATGCAGAAGGAGCGGCGTCTCTTCCAGCTCCACATGTGCGAGGTGGGAGCTGTGCTGGGGGGATCAGAGATTGTTCCTCCCCCAGGAACTGAGTCCCAGGGGATTCCACCACCAAAGCAGCCCCACCAGTGTGCTGTGGGGGACTCTTGGCTGTCCCCCATGCCATYGTGTCCCTGCATGGTCCCAACTCAGGGGTCCCCATCCCATCCTCATATTTAGGTCCCTGTGGGATGCAACTCCAAATGGCACTCTTGGTGCCTCATGAGGGTGGCCTGGGWGTTCCGTCCGTGTGCCTACCTCGCTCCTATCTCTTCCTTGGGTGACATTTGGGTAAAAAGTGAACTTTTTGGCTAACCTCCTTGAAGCTGGCTTTGTGGTTTCCCCTAAAAACTGCTCCTGGTTTTGGTGAGGGACATCTCAAGTCACTCCAGATCCCTGGCAGTCCCAGGTCCTTGCAGTCCATACTCACAAGGTGAGGTGGGAATAAGTGAAGGATGGAGACTCAATTTCAGAGCCCCACAGCAAGGAGGAACCCAGGTGTCCTGGCTGCAGACACTCAGCATAAACTATAAACCTCAAGGGTGACAGAGCAGGGAACAAGTCCCCAGTGGGCTGTCTGAGACGTCTCCCATGTTCCTGAGGGCCACATCCCAGTGCCACCCCATGCCTACCCAGCAAAGAACAGGGGTTGTGGGGAGAAGGCCGTGCCTGCCTCCAAGCTGGGACCCAGCCAGATGAGTCACTCCTTTGAATAGCTCCACTGTGGGATAAATAACAGCACATGGAGAGGTGGGAGCTGGAGCAGGGCATGTGCACCCGTGTTTCTGCATGCATGAGAACTGTTGCTGGCCCTGGAAACGGGAGGGCAGTTCTGGGGGCTGGGGGCCATGTGATGCATGTGGGTTTATAGGAAGGTGGGTTTTGCTACTTCCTGGACTGGGAACAGAGTCCTATTTCACCCTATGGGGTGGTTCTGTCTCCTCTTTGTGGGCCATCTCACATCCCCAAGGCTGTGAGAGCAGTTGGACATGGGCCCAGGAGTGCTGGCAGCATCCCTTTATTCACGGATCCCAGCCAGTGCTGGCTAGGATGCTGTGCTGCCACTGTCACTGTGGAGTGTGGGTGGCAGGACAGGGACATCCCATGGGATCCATACCCGTGTAGCATTTTCCAGGTGGGATGTGGTTCAGGGGTACAGTTGTGCTCCCCGACATGGACTTGGTATGTCCAGATTGCGTGGAGCAGTTTAACAATGCTCCCCAGCCCAGTGACCCCTCAGGGTGTCCAGAGTGCCCAGTGCATGGGGAGACTCCATTCCAGGAAGCTTGTCTCACTCTGAAATGCCCGCGGAGCTCAGGACTGCCTCCCCTTCCACTTGCCCCCCACTGGAAACCATTCCAGCAGCTGGAGAGGAGCTTACAGGGGCAAAATTGCTTCTCCTCCTTGTTTTGCTTAGGGTGAGTGAGACTCTGTGTCTTACCTTMCCTGCATGCAGCGGGAGGATGGGTTTGATGCATAAGGCTGAAATTCCGCATCCCATGGGGCACCTCAGCAGACCTCTAGGGCTGGTGTACTGCAGGTGCTTGCTTCTTGGAATCTGATTTTTTGGGAATAAAAGGGCCATGTCTTAAAAAAGTATTCAGCCTTTTTTGTTGTGGGTTTTGGTTTTTTTTCATTCATGCACTGCCTTGAGYTTTGGTTATTTATTAACTCCAGAAGTAATGAGCAGCAGGAGAAGCATGCTTGGATGGAAACCCAGGAGGCCTCCCTCAGTCCTTGAACTTTCCAGGTCTTGGAGGACTTCCAGAGCCAGTTTTTTTGAGGGTGGTCCCCTGCCTTCAAATCCAATGTCATGACTCGACTTCTTGAAACCCAGCCATTATTTTAACCTTCCTCCCTGTCCTGGGAAAGGAAAGTGAGGGCTGGGCAGGCTCTTGCTCTTTCGTCTGGGATGTTTTCAGCTGGTCCTTGTCTATGTCACCTAACCAGGTGTCTTCTTTTCCTCCAGTACCTGCTAAAAGCCAGTGAGTCTCAGATGAAGCAGGGACCAGATTTCCTGCAAAGCCTCATCAAGTTTTTCCACGCTCAGCACAAGTAGGTGCCACCTGGGTCAAATTGATTCATCTCCTGGGCTGGTTGTCATCCTTGGGAGGACCCACAAGGGTGTGAGGGCTTCTACTCTCATCCCAGATCCATAAAGCAATTGGTGGAGATACTGGGCAGAGCCCATCACTCWCTGTCTCTGCGGGGTTGAAATGTGCTTTTTTGGCTTGAGGAGGTGTAAACGTGTCCATGGGACTGGAGGAGGGGCGTTGGCTTGAGATATATCTGATGATTTGGTCTCTGGATAGATTTCCAAAAATGAGCTCAGCTGAGCAGCTCTGGCATTAGCCATGGGGCTCATAACAAGGGTGTGTGGAGCAAGGATCAACATCCCCTTGCTTTTCCCATTGCTTCCATGAAGCTGGAATAGCAATGTGTGGAAGTCATTATTTCCTCCACCTCTCAAGTGGGGAAACTGAGGCAGATTGAGACAGTCACTCTAGTTAAAAGCATATCCTTGACTGGGATGTGACCCAAGGACCTCCCAGAATGCAGCTTTTGGGAGTGCTGCTCCCCAGTGGTTGAGCTGGGATTGAGCAAGAGGCCAATCCTGCATCCCTAATACCCCAAATATTTGGGGTATCCAGACCCCATGGGCTGGGCTCTCTCCAGATCCCTATAGCCAAGGAGCCACAAAGCAAGTGCAGCTTTCCAGGGAGGGGATCGCTGTCATCTCCAGACACATTTTCTCTAAAAACCCTCTTTTTTCCTTCATCCTCCCCATCTGCATCTTAATCACCCTCAACAAACATCCAGCTTCTTCCAAGATGGCTGGAAGGCTGCCCAGAACCTCTACCCCTTCATTGAGAAGCTTGCTGTGTCCCTCCATGTGGTAAGGTCTTCATGCTGCCATTCAGTGTCCCTTGGACATGTCTACCAGGATGCCACTCCCTGTCCCTGTGCCAGCCACTGGGAACACCTGCGCTCAACACAGCAGTGAGGGCAGCTGCTCCCTTTCCAGCTCCACCAAGCACAGGAGGAGGAGGTGAAGCAGCTCACACAGACCCGTGATTCCCTCCGCAGCATCCTGCAGCTGGAGAACAAGGAGGTGAGACCCTCAGGATCAGCAGGGAGAGCTGAGAAGGAGCATCAGGAAGGTGCTGGGTATCCTGGGGTTAGTTTGGGGATGAGGAACAGAAGGGAGAGGGGAGCTGGGTTAACCCATCCATGAATCTGGAGACATTTGGATGCTGGTTGGGCATATGTGTGTCTGGCATCCTGCAGACAGGATTTCCTCTCACTTTGCTTTTTACTTGCCTTTTTTCAGGAAAACTTGAGCAGGAAGAACTCTGGCAGTGGCTACAGCATCCACCAGCACCGAGGGAACAAGCAGTATGGGACAGAGAAGTCTGGATTCTTGTACAAGAAGAGCGATGGGTGAGGATGAGTATTATCCCAGAGAGCTCCTGGCTTCATCCCGATGTTGTCAATGTTCATGGGAGGCCCCAGAGCTGGTATCCAGCTCACAGGGTATTTTGTGCTCTGTGAATTAGAGAAAGTACAGCCCATGTCCAGAACACCATCAGACCTCTGCTGAGGGCTGCTGTGGCTGGTTTTGGATGTGGATGTGCATGACTGCAGCTGTGCAATGCTCATTCATCCTCTTTCTCAGGATCCGCAAAGTGTGGCAGAAGAGGAAATGTGGTGTGAAGTATGGCTGCCTGACCATCTCCCACAGCACGGCAAGGAGCGGGGGGACTGCAGCCCTGACCCTTCTTTGTGCACCCTTTGTGACTTGGTGCCCATTGGATTTCATGTTTAGTTTTGCCCAAACTGGTCACAAAGCTACCTGGCTTAAAATTCAGTACAGGATGGGACTGGACAGTCTAAAGAAGGTCCCCTGTGTATGACAGGGGTCCAAAGGAGGTTCCCCATGTCTGATAGGGGTCCATGGAAGGGGAGGGTGGGCTTGGKTGGGGCAGCAAGGTAGACAGTGAGAGTCCTGACAAGGCCAAAGGGGCTGGGGCAGGTTGGGAGGGAGGGGCTCCAACACTCCTCCTGTGTTGAAGGCTGAAAAGTGCAGCAGGGACAGAGAGACATCTTGGAGCTGTGTTTTCCTGCAAAGGGTCTCTGTTCTTTGAAATGGGTCAGACAGGGTCTGATTTGTRTGGTTATCCCAAGAGAAACCATCTGTGGCAGTGGTTGTACTGCTGCAGTTGCCATTGGAGATGGTGATGCCCATCCCATCCCACCCCACCCCA